TATTGCTTTTTTTTAACTGCACAGTATTTAAGTGATTGTTTAAAGGAAAATGAAAATGAAATAAAATGTTTGAAGAAAGAAAACAAAAAAACCAAACAAACAAACAAAAAAACCCTTGGATATGTCTAGTTTAATGAAAAGAAGGACTAGGGGAGACATGATAGCAGTGCTCCAATATCTCAGGGGCTGCCACAAAGAAGAGGGAGTCAAGCTATTCTCTAAAGCACCTGAGGGCAGGACAAGAAGCAAAGGATGGAAACTAATCAAGGAGAGAAGGAGCCTAGAACTAAGGATACATTTTCTGACAGTTTAAACAATTAATCAGTGGAACGACTTGCCTCTAGAAGTTGTAAATGCTACAAAACTGGAGGTTTTAAAGAAGATATTGGATGTATATTGTATAAACTGAATCTATTATATGAGCTAACTGCCAGGTATTGCTGTTATTTTATAGATTTCTGTACCAAAGTCCCCAAACAGCAAAGTATTTCATGTGAAGTGAATTCAGCAATGTTTGAAAAAGCCTTTGCTGTCATGAAAAGGAAGCTATAATCAAGGACAATATCCAACTCAATATGGCTATTGACAAAAACAGCTTAATACTATTGATAACAGTTTTAAACAAGGAGTACAAGAAAGGCTTTTCAAGATGCACAAATCAATAATTTAATGTCTTTACATTTTTGGGAATCAGAAAACTTTGATAAGACAGTGTACAAAAATACACCAGAATTATTCAGTGAGGCATACATAATTTAGTGCTTTGTTTGTTAAATCATTACAATGATGCAGCTGAAGTAAATGGAACAAAATGGATATTTCAAGACTCACTGGACTTTGGGGCTGATATTTGTTTATATTTAGGGGAAATACTTGTTCTCCAATGACTTCCAGATGGATTTATGGCATTGATCCTATGGTAGTTGAACTCAACACTGGACATTGTGTTGTACAACCATGCAAGATTATCAACATACATATTCAATTGCTCATTTTCTTATTTAACTTTTATTGCTCATAAAGAGGATGCAACCAGCATTATCTATGACAATATGTAATTGTAAAGAAATGCACTGAATTCATTCATAGTGTGGACTACACAGCACCAAAATCATTTAAAGAAACAGCAGAGAAAGGGTTAGTGATGTCAACATGGTACCTTCAAACCTCAAGAATTGAGAACTTTGTCTGCAGTTGCTTCTAGACTGCTGATGAGAAAAGATGCATCATGTTAGACCTAATTCTGCTTAACGTCTGGCAGAATGTGATAATGTTTTTCTAAAGGCCACACAAGTAAGGTGGATATCAAGAAGAGGTTTCCATCACATTATCAGATAACACAAGCCAAATGTAGCCAAACCTTTCCAGAATTTCCAGAGTAGGAATGACTCAAACACTTTCTGCTTATACTCACAAGGGTGGTAGGTGAAGTTTTGCCAAAGCCATTGTGATGTGGATGGATTACAAATTCCAAATGTTCATATCAATTATAGATCTGTCGGTTTATATCTAGAAAATAGATACTATATGGTTGTCTCACTGGATGAAGAACTTCTGACCTATACAGGTGCAATATTGATTTCATTGGTATGATCAAGTGTTTAAGAATATTTTATTTTCATTTCCATAATATATAATCACATGTATATTATTACATAGAGAATATCATGTTGTAAGAGAAAACAATATACATGTGCAATCATACTACTTTAAAATCAAACCTGGA